AGGGTAGAACGACTCCTCCCGCCCCCGAGAGAGGAGGACCCGAACGTCCAGAAAAAGGTCTCCCCCGTCTAGTTTTTGTCCTATATCGCTCTAGGCTATACCATCGCCGGTGAGAAGACCCTTTCCCCCCCTCCCCCCTTTCAAGGTTCCCCGCATACCTTTCTCCGCACCGTATCGCACTCCCCACCTTCGGCACGCGCGGAAAAGGGTTGTCCCACCCGGCAGAAGCAGGAGAAGGGAGACGGAGAAGGAGGGTGGGGAGTAGAAGAAGCTTCGATGGATTGGACACCGGGTGGATCCATCCATATGCGTTTATTTTATCCCTTCCTTCCACCAACCAACCAACGTAACATACGCCGTCCGGTCCGTACGTACCTTACTTATCACACAAATGAAATTACAGATTGGATCCCCACAAAACAGGACAATTTCACACCGCGGGTCGCCCCCACATGCAACGAAAGAGATAAATGAAGAAAAAAGAAATCCCATTGACGTTAATGTTATAAAAAATCATAATACAATGTGCATGTTACAATATAGTTTAACTTCTCATCCAGAGGGGGAAAGCTTTTCACATCCGGTGTCCCAAGTTGACGTGCACGGCCTTGACGTTTGTGTAGCTATGAATAGAAAAGCCCCCCATCAGCCATCACGGATCAACGGGTGAAGGGGAAGGGGGTGGGACCCAAAAAAAAAAAACACGCACTTGTGGAGCGCATACTCGCCCAACTCCCGTCCGATACCACTCTGCTTGAAACCACCAAAAGGAACGTTAAAGTGTATCTGATTCGCGCAGTTGACCCATGCGGTGCCGGCTTTGAGCTTGTGGGCGGTTTCCAGGGCGCGGTTGATATCTTGCGAGAAGACGGCAGCGGCGAGACCGTACACTAAAGCGGAGAAAAGGAATTAGCGGATTTTGTTTTGGGGAGAAAGAAAGGGACGCGTACTCGTGTCGTTGGCTTGCCGGATGACGTCCTCCTCGTCCTCAAACTTGATCACGACACCGACGGGACCAAAGATCTCTTCCCGGACGATCCTCATGTCCGGGGTGGTGTTGGTGAAGATGGTGGGTTGGATAAAGTAGCCTTCATTGCCGTGGCGGGCTCCACCACTGTGGACGGTCGCACCCTCCGACTTGCCGGACTCGATATAGCCCATGATACGCTAAAATCGGTGCCGTTAGTTTTGTTAGGAACATATCGGAGGAAGGGGGGCCAGGGAGACAGAGGCTCACGTCATATTGGATTTGGGAAACCTGAGGACCCTGGTCCATGCCGATCTCGAAGGGGTCGCCAACCTTGATGCTCTGGGTCTTGGCAGTGAACTTTTTCAAGAATTCGTCGTAGATGCCGGACTGGACGAAGATACGGGAGCCAGCGCAGCACGCTTGGCCGTGGTTCCAGCTGCAGGGGAAAGAAGCCGTTAGTATATGGAGCGAGTGTAATGCGGGGAAGATGGCGGTGGCGGTGGCAACCAAGGTAACTTGAAGAAAACTCACAAGATACCATGGGCGGCCCAGTTGACGGCCTGGTCGATGTTAGCATCGTTGAAGATGATGTTGGGGCTCTTTCCACCGAGTTCGAGAGTGACGTTCTTCAAGTTGGTCTTGGCAGCGGCCTCCATGACTTTGCGACCGACAAGGGTGGAACCGGTGAAGGCAACCTGGAGGGGAATCAGAAAGTTAGAAAGTTTTGAAATTGAAAGTAGGCACCTTTTCAATGTGCATGTGGGAGCTGATGGCGTTACCGACGGTCTGGCCGTAACCGGTGACGATGTTGACGACACCAGGAGGGAAGCCAGCCTCGTTGATGATAGAGCCCATACGGATAGCGGTCAGAGGAGTGAACTCGGAGGGCTTGATGACGATGGTGTTGCCAGTAGCGAGGGCAGGGCCGATTTTCCATGCAAACATGAGGAGAGGGAAGTTCCATGGAATGATTTGGCCCTAGAACGAATGAGAAAGAGGCGAATGAGTTAAAAAGAAAGGTTACGTACAACGACACCAATAGGCTCATGGCGAGTATATGCGAGCTTGTTCTCGTCGGTTTCGATGACTTGACCGGAGAGCTTGTCAGCCCAGCCGGCATAGTACTTGATAGTTCCGATGGAAGCAGCGGTATCGGTTCCCTTGGCCCATCCGAAAGTTTTTCCTGAAAAAAAAAAAGGATTAGGAAGGTCCTGGATAGGGACGCGCAGTCCAAAGAGGCACGTACCGTTGTCAAGAGCCTCCAAAGCCGCGAGCTCGTCGTGGTGCTGCTCCATTAGGGAAGCAAGCTTGTAGAGAAGCTCAGAGCGCTGTGAGCCAGAGGACTTGAGACCCCAGGTGGTCTCAAAGGCCTTCTGGGCCGCCTCGACGGCGAGATCGACATCCTTCTCGGTTCCCTCAGATACAGAGGTGATGAGCTTTCCGTTGGTAGGGTTAATAACACTGTAAAAAAGGTTAGAAAGAAAACGAAAATAGAACGAAAGCGCGACGTACTCGATGGTCTTGCCAGATGAACCAGGGACGAACTTGCCGCCGATAAAGAGGCCAGTGGGGAAGGAGGATTTGCCCTTGTAGACGGGGGTGTTGAACTCGTAGGAGAAAGAAGTCATGGTAGTGGATGAAAGGTGGGAGGGGGATAAGAGACAGTGGCGGTTTTCGGAAGTTTATATACCCCAGACGGGGCCCCGGAACGGATGACCACACCGATCGTGGCTGAGACATCCGTATTGCTGATTGGAATATTTGAAATTGGATCAAAAGTTTTTGTAGGGGCGGCACGACGGCGGGATTCGGGAGAAAGGTGATCCATGGATGGGGAAGATGAGGTCAGCGTAGGGGGTGATATAGATTACGTGGAGAGCAAGTGCGGGGAAGGGCATGTGATGTCGTTTGTGGGGGTGGGGCATCCCGTGGCGACCCCTGTAATATGCATGCGGACGCCCGACTGCGACTAGGGGGTTATTTGGCCTGGCTATCTTCCCTTCCTTCTTGCTTTGACGTCGATTCGCCGCCTAGAGAAAAGCGCGTTCTGAATTTGCGAATTTTTGCAAAAGTACCGCGGATCGCACGGACGTCGACTTCTTCTCGTCTATCTCGCCTGCTTCGCTCTAAATCGCATCGATGATCTCCGCCAACTCGCACCTGACCCGCCTTCTCCATTCCAAGCTAGGCATGGCATGATTGATCCACAAGCGTTGTTCTCGACCCGGGAGCCGTTTTGTGATCCCTAAGAGTAGCCTTTCATTTCTATTCAATACCCTCGTTAACGTCAACCTATATGCCATATTACCACCGACCACTAACAAGACCAAACTTCTTTCTGCCCTTAAATACTCACGATCCTTCGTTCTCCATCGTCTTTCAATTCCAACTTAACCATGTCCGACATTGAAAAAGGCGTTTCCTCCAGCTCGAACGGCGCTGGCGCTCTCCAGGCCAGCCCGCCTCCCCATAGCACCGCCGTGCTGCGCCCGACACGTATCGCCAATGCCGGCACCCTCGGCTTGTTCTCCTTTGCCTCGACGACGTTTATCCTCTCCATGTACAACGTCCAAACTCGCGGGATAAAAACGCCCAATGTCGTCGTCGGAATGGCCATTTTCTGCGGCGGGCTGACTCAGCTGTTGGCTGGCATGTGGGAGTTTCCTCGAGGCAACGCATTTGGCGGGACAGGTACGCATCGCCCACGGCCCCTTACCCCACACCTCCTAACTCCTTATCGATATCCCCAGCTTTCTCCTCCTATGGCGCTTTCTGGATGTCCTATGCCACTATCTTCATCCCCAACTCTGGCATTCTCGATGCATATGGCACAGATACTTCCGAGCTCGCCTCTGCGCTCGGTGTGTATCTCTTCACCTGGATGATAGTCACCATTCTGTTCCTGTCAGTCCGTTCTCTTCTCCCCTTATCGCTGACTAACCCCGTCTACGCAGCATCACCTCGCTCCGCAAGTCTGCCGCGTTCGTCGCCCTCTTCGGCTGTCTCTCTGTCACCTTTATGTTTCTCGCCTGCTCAGAGATCTCCGCTTCCACTACGATCAGCACCCAGTACGCCTTCTATCCTCTTCTTTCTCTTCATTTAGCTCACAATTCCTCCAGTCTCGCTAAATCAGGGGGTGCATTTGGCATCATCACCGCCTTCATCGCCTACTACGTCGGCCTCTCCGAGCTGCTCGCATCAGAGGCCAAGGCAGTTACCGTACTCCCCATTGGCGCTTTCTAGCTCCTTAATCATACCATTATACCTCCATACGTTCTAGTACCCATAATTATCATGACGTGTTCCATTCCACATGCTATATCATCACATCATGAGACTTTTCCAATTTACCATAACCCGTGCTACGATTCTACAAATATCATTAGCGCCTCACCATGCGTACTTCCGCTGCTGATCCAGATCCGCCTCCACAAAAGTCAGCTGGTAAAAAAAAACCGATTTTTTCCAGGACGCGCGCCCTGACCCAATACGGTATCAAATAGCCGAATCCACGCGCTCTCGCCCAGGACGCGTTCCCGCCGTCTTAGTTTAGTTGACACCCATGGGTCCACCTCTCCAGATCACCACCCATCATTTCTGCAGATCCCGGGTGAACGTTGTGGCGGGTCGGCTTGGATGTGGGGAAACAGACGTTGAACTTGGCAAGGAAGAAGCACCCGTGTGTAATGATACCGCCAAGCGCGCTGGGAAAGGTACCGACCGGGTCCAGGGAGCCTTTTCATATCACCAAAAGTCAACTCGCCGTCCGTCCCGTGGTAGATCTGGCGTGAATACAGCATTTTTTCCCCCCCAAACTTAAGAGTGTATTCGTACGAAAACTGAAGGCTAAGCAAGCGTCGGGTCCGAGTTCATCCGCCCCGCCGGTTCCTCTGTGCCGCGAGACATACGAGATCAGAAACATAGACAGGGGGGGTGGTGGGGGTGGGGGTACCTATGGGTCCATGTTTTCTCGTGGAGGAGGCGGAGATTACGCGGGGGGGTGGGGAGCCCAAGGATTTTCGCGCATTCCAGATTCCAGATACGAGTGCTTTTCACCGTTCGAGCAGGTCCCTTTCGCATGGAGAAGCTCAATTCCAGACTTCGTTCGCTCGACACACTACGTGGACCCACAAGATCATCGGTGATCTCGAATACAGCAGTAGTGGTAGTAGTACGTACGTACGTACAGCGTCAATCATTGTTAATGGGCGCAACATCATCCCTCGATCGTCGAGCCGAGTCATGCGCCGTTCGGTAATGATTTGTGCCGCTCACCGTCCTGCCGCGGTAGTAGATCCAGGAAAATCCAAGGAAGAACTGAGACCGACACGGAGTGTGATGCGGCGTCAGACCTGGCGCTGTCCTGGCCTGGCAGTGGGGAAGGAAGGAAAAACATGATTATGGATGACTAAGCATGCATCATGTTTTTCTCATGGTCTTTTTACTCAAACAAAAACTTTTTATACATTCTCTATTGCTCAGGACCCAGAATTTAGCCAGCACCAACGCCAGACTCACACGTTCGCTCGGCGACGAGGGCAAATTTCAGACTCCAAAACACATGTTTATGACCAAGACCAACACCGACACCGACACGGCATGTGCATGCATCAGATCCAAGTTATTCATCCGACCGGTGTTGGAAAGCCCTCCACCTATCTCGGGCAGACTAACTGCAAACGGAGTTGCTGCACCACACCACACTATCTCCGAGTCGTATCAACCGCCTACAGATTTATCTGCGTCCTGCATGCGGAAATCAAAGCTCCCCTACGTGCAGAGATGGATCCGGACTCGGGGGTACCACGGCGGGCGGGCTGTTGTTTTCTTCCGTTCAGATATCGGCAACCCGAGCCGTTATATGTACCCTCGTATAACGACGAATCCTCAGTATACACATATCCTCTGTCAATGCCACCTCGTGCCCCAGCATTGTTCGTTATTTAACCTATCTGCTTCAGGAAATAAGGTCCCAGATCTTGTATGCAGGTCAAACGGCATGAATCTAATGGAGACAAGTCAAGAAGATGTGTCAGCACCTGTGATTGGTCGACTCTGCATTCCACTATATTTTCCTCACTGACATTGGACTGTAAATCGCACCTACTTCAAATACCATCTTGGCACAAGGAACTAAATACCTTGGGAATATCATTGATTATACTGATGTGATGGCACAACATGAGCATATGGTACTAATTGTCATGATTTTAGTCTCTAATCATAACCTGCTGATGCTTAGTAAGCCAACACTTACAAAAGCCCAATGATCCCCAACAGATAAGGACTCTCAGCTATGTGGAAACCCTGCTGAAGCCATATGGAACTAGAGATGATGCATGCATGATGATACCATGCTACACTTTACTCATCACCACATGATACATAGCCAGCATCAGCATGCTGATCATACAGAATGACTGTGCAATGATGCAATCTCAGTCAGAACAACTGCAGCTCATGCAACAATCACTATAGCAATGGTGTTATGAGCAGATAATAATGCATCTGCATAGTATAGAGAGTACTATCATCAGCCAATGAGTAGTAGACACAATAATAAGACAATTGTCATCTGTAGAGCCAAAACATTTCTGAACAGTATTTAAGCTAGTAGTTTACAGTGATATACTCTAGTCTCAAGCTAAGATTAATTTATATCAATCAATCTCTTAGACTCTCAGTGTGGCTACCATCTCAGTTTCTACACTGGCAGCTGTAGTCTATCAACCTCTCTATCTCATCCTGCTTATTATTGTCACATACCTTATCATTCTTGTTGGGATTTTGTTGAAAAGTTCTAGAAAGAGCAATCTGGCATCATGCTAAGAGTTGATGAGTAAGCTTAAGAGAAAGAGAAAGTTGTAGTAAATTCTAAATATAAGCCTGAAGAGTATAAATACAAGCTCTCTAGGAGCTGTAGTAGAACAAGTTCATTCTATCTGATTCTATCAGCCTGGAGTCTATCCTGCACAGCACCCAGGATTTTCAACAATTCTTATCATTATGCTTTATCATCAGTTAGTGTTAGATTCCAGCAGTTGCAGTGTCAAGCATTTGTGATTATTTGGTTATCATCTGACACTAATGTTCAATTGAAAAGCATGAGCAAGCACTTATAGCCTCTTCTTCCTTGATAGTCATCATCTCTTCCAAAGTGAGCTGTTCTGTCATATCCTGTAGACTTAGAGATCTGCACTATATCTGTAATTATGATATTATAAGACAGTTGATATGGATATCATAACTGTATCATGCTTAATCTTGATAACAACTATATGGATCAGTATACAGTATAGACTGCATCTATACAACCTGTATAAAACACAGCCATATATGGCTATATATATAGATATCCAAGTAGTATCATTAGATCTTGAAATAGCATCAATCAACTGATTGATTGTATGACCTCCTTTCTCTAGAACTACTATGTTGACAATCATTCTAACCATTTTATTCTGTTACTCTTGGATTTGCCCACTGCTTAAAGCTTGACATTTATTTCAGTTATTACTTCTCAGCTCTCTATTTTCAGATCATGATTATTTCTTCTGTAATGACCTCTTTAGCTAATATGCAATATATCACTAGCTATTTAACTCTACTCAGCAAGAGTTGGAGTCAAGAAACTTTCTGCAGTATTGCTTTCTTATTCTTGCCTCTTGTTTACAGCTAATCCTTTTCTAGTTTGATATGGATCTGATAGATATAAGAGTCCACCACTGTAGTGCAATGGTATCTCATCAAAATGCCTCTCTGACTTCTCTCCTGAAGTAGAGAGATGTATGAGATTCTTCTCACTTTATTCTCTAATATCATTGTCTTCTGTGCAAGTCTTTGGTTTGCTATTTCAGTGATACTCTTTCTTACTCCAGCACTCAGCATTCTCTAGGCTATATCAGAACTAACCTATCTGTTTTTTCTCAAATTTTCCACTTTGGTTAATTCATTCACAGATGCTCTTATTCTGATGTGCTTTTATTGTGTGGTCTCACTCTTCATGTTCATGTTGGCTCTTGCACTAATTGATCAACTTCAAAGTCAACATGATCTTTCTCACTTTCTTTACTCTTGATCAACTGTTTTCTGGGCTATGATTTCATTTTTGCTGATCTCATATCTTACAAATGCATCTAGATCAGTTTTTCAGGCTCTTGAAGACAGGCATTGCAACAGTTTTTGTGACTGAATACCCTCTGAGAATAATAATAACCAATGTGCATCTTTCTTATTCTCTTCAGCTGAAAGTATCACTCATACATTGCTCTTTTCACTGAAAGACAAAACTGAGCCTAAGACCAATACCAATTCCAACCCAAATTCTGGACAGGAGACAATCTTCATTATGAAAGCAGTGACACACACAATATCTATTCTATCTATATAGTGTTAACTCTTATACTAGTAGTATCAAATTATACAACCATCAATGATATTCTTCATCATCTGTATCAGAGACATTATGTATCTTTACATGATCATCTTCTCAAAACCTATACTCTTTGTATATCAGATCTGCAGCATCATCTATTAGGATATGAGATGATTTCTGATCTTGGAGCTATTCTTATGATCTGTTTTTATCCTTCTGAATGATTGCTAGAAGGAGATATATACTATATAATATTTTAAGGGTGAACAGCACACACTAAATCTTTATCTCATCTGTCAGCCTCTCTTGAATTTGAGGCATATGCCTACAATAAACATGGCAATCTCAAAGATGCCAATAATATTGATTGGTATAACAATGCTGATGATATAGTTCCAACTAAGAGAGCTGGTCCATTTAGTAGCAGTAGTGAGTTAGCATGTTGTCATCTCACTTTCTATGGCTGATATTAAATTCTATTCTGATCATAGTCACTGTAGCAAAAGGACAGTAAAGCTTCAAGCCTCAATCACAATTGAACAGAAGTCTGATAAGAGTCCAACTGGCAAACAACCTTCTCAGAAGTGACAGCAGTGCAATCAGAGTAAGAAAAAAGCTATTAATGATAGCATAGCTAAAAAGAAGGATCCAGATAGTGATTTTTCTAAAGATGAGGTGAATATATTTTTTTTGTATCTGGCTTGCTTGTACTTACTTTGAGTTCTAGCTGGCAGCATCCTTATCATCAAAAACTATTCTAAAGGGTATTGTTATGATTTCTTCACTTATCTTATCTTATCACAGATGCTTATTTAATCTTCAGCACTTATCTAATCCTATCAGTGATCACTATATCCATCCAGCTCAGACCAGTAGCCACAACTATATCAGACAACTCATGCTATTATATTATGACTCATGACTAACATCTTGCCAACAGATGATACCTATTGTTTTATGCATCTATTATATGCTCATTCAGTTCTGACTCACAGATAACTACAATAAATAGGACTATATTTATCATATTTGAAAATATATATAAGTAGCTTAGCTCTTGCTGTAGTAGACTCAGCTTTAAGCTAAAGTTTATTCTATACCACTCACTCTTGAGCCTACTTGCAAAGCTTTGATTCTCACAACAAGTCAAACACTATAAAGTGGACTCTAATAGAACTGTACAAATGCAATACAGCATCCATTTATCATGAGTTCAACTCATATGATGAGCAGATCTAACAGGTATAGCATATTTCAATAAATGATCACAAATAAAGTGCAAATAAGTTAATACTCTGAATACTAGCAATCAAGAAAATACAGAGATAATACAAAAGAAGATGTATAAATACAAACACTATCTTCTTCAGAGATAATGTATTCTGATTATATTCTATTTCACCTGAGATTAATCTTTACTTTCTCCAGAAATCTCAGAAGAAGAATTCAATCTACTATTTTTATAAGCTATGGCCAACCAATACTCATAGTGAATCTGATAACAAAGGAGATTCTCATTACAAGTGCTATCATAGGAAATCTTATAATATATTGACAATTACTATTATGATTTTCTTTTATTTTATCTTTTATCTCAATTATCTTATCTTTGATCTTATCTTATCAGGGTGTCTATCTTATCTAAAGGCACTTATTCAACCATAAGATGATTACTCAATCACAATAGGCAGTTCATGCTATTATTCTTTAATGTACAATGTACATCTCATCAATAAACAATAGACAATATCTTATTGTTCTATCTCCAATGACTAGACACAATGGCACCATATTATAGAAATGTATATAAGTAGCATAGCTCTCACTGTAGTGACCCAGCTTCAAGCTAAAGTTTATCTATACTGCTTCTCTCTTTTTGAGTCTATTCTGTGAACAGCCTTGATGCACCCAATCAGATTGCACATTAGTAGACTCTAGTGTGACTGTACAAACTTGATACAGCACTAGTTTATCATATATTCTGATCATATGCTGAGCAGATCTAACAATTAGCTTGAAGCTTTTTGTTTTCCTTTTCTTATGCACACTAATGTGAAGGAAACTGAATGCCTTCAACTTCCAATCTTACATCAAACTTCTTCAATCTCTTGAGCACTGTTATTGACACCCTGCTCAGGTTTTTTGTTATCATCTATTTTTGTTGAAAAAATCAGTCTATCACTGCTTGGGTGATTAGGTATTATACTGCTCTCTGAACTGCATACTAAGTCAGATGAAATATCTCACTCATTCTCTCCTTTCATGATCTTCTAACAGAGCCTTCCCAAATCCCCAACAAGCTCACAGGTGGACTCATACCTGAAATCCTCCTCTAGCTGCCTCAAAAAGCTTCTGATGAGATACAAAGAGAAGAAGCCAACTAATCTAATGACTTTCAGTATCTGCCCTGACTCTGAAACAGTCTCTCTGTTGAGCAGCAAAGGCACTATCTCAATAGAATCTCAGTACACTTCTCTCTGATCTCAGCTGAACTCACTAACAATCTCTCAAGAGACTTCTGGCACACCACAACTATTACTGACTCTTCCACTGCTCCCTCTGAGCATGGAAT